GGGCCAGTATTTCACAGGGTTAGCTACTTTGATTCCTTGCGATCTTGCTACGACACGAAAAGTGCAGAAAAGCATAATCGCACCGGCCCGCCTGGTACGTTCCAGCCCAGGTTTTCGAGCTAGCGCAATGCCAACTGTGAACTTTGGCGTGACCGTACGAGCGGTATAAACGTGCGCAACAGAGGAATTTGACTTTGGCTCATATATGTACAGAGAACATCCTTGCGATGTTTTAGCTCTCTATCCTATCTGGTTCGCGAAATTATTTGCCGCTAACAAAATTTGCATATTCTTTCGTGAGTATGTATGCGAAATCTGGGAGCGTATGAAAGAAGATTTTAAAACTAGAGGGTGACATATGGGGTAGGAATATGACACTAAAGTTTCAGCCTACCAGCTTTCCTAGTTACTGAGTTAAAAATGGGTAACAAAGTCCACTCGCTTCCGAATAATGTTTACGTTGCTGTGCAGTGCACAGCAAAAACGCATAAAAACAGTATTTTTCTGAAAATATTTGCTGTTCATGTATGGGCCACCAGGTGTAAAATGAGCTCTTGCTTAGGCATGTGCTCTGCGCACAGGAGCGCCAAATGTTCTAACTGCAATACCGCAGTTACTTTTCAGGCGGTCTCTTTACGTTATGGAATTATACAAAAACTCATGGTTGCATCAGCAACCTAGTGCATGTCGTTATTGATATACTGGATTGCCTGTATTTCTGGCTCGTAATTCAGAGCCAGAAGAAAGAAAGCTACAAAAACTGAATTTTGGAATCGAGTTCACGTTTGAAGCGACAAACCTACAATTTGCTCACCATACATCTTGTCCAAAAAACAAAGGACGATTTAGCTAAAAACACAACTTTCTGGTAAAGAAAAGGAGTGAAAAGGCGAATGCAAATAAAAAACGCTTTTCTTCCTCTGAAGATCATGGGTTCAAATTCTGTCTAATTTTTCTCAAAGAGCTCACTTTTTGGCATTTATTTTCGAAAAAAAATGCCCGATTTTTTTAACTTATTATTACTAGCAACCAACTGTGGGCATTTAAAGAAATATTTAGTGACAGAAACTAAGAAAAGAGTACATGACGTGACAGCAAACAAACCTTCGTCACGGAATAAGTGAGGGCAAGGGCGATTGCAAGTGGAAGTCCTTCCGGTATTGAAATGACCAGTATTGTGACAGCAATAATGAAAAATTTAACAAAAGCGTGTAAATCGCTAATTTGAAATGAGTTATTTGCAGATAGGTAGTGGTCGAGAGAAAAGCGAATGAGCAACACGACGAGTGCCAGAACAGCAATCGTGGTACCTGCAATCAAGCAGTTAGAGCAAATGTCTGAGACGATTACGGCTATTTAGAGCAAACGAATCCTTTTCTAGAAGACTGCTCAAAATTAGGATATCGTCCTTGACAGCTTACCGCAGTATATTATTTGCAGCGCAAGTTTTGATAACTTCGATTGCAGAACTGATTTTGCCGTCAGTCCATCATCATCGTCGCTGCTTTTGCTGCTAGTGCTACAATTACTGCTGGAAGATGATGTTAAAAATCCTGAAAATGGAAGATAATTTTCTGGAAAACAAAGCCACGAGGAATCAGAGGAATTCGAAACGTTCTGTTAGTAAAATTATGAAGATTACTGCAAGAAATTTGGTTCTGACGAGGGCAATAACCCAAGCTGGAATGCACCGGGCGGCCTGTGCGATCATTTGTTTTTGCACCGGACTCGAATACACAGTTCATTAACTGCATGAATGGCTGTTGTTTTGCATCTACCTTTTGCGGTCACTAGGATAAATCACCATAAATAAATTTTGCATAAAGTAGATGTACACTTTCCATTTAACGATCGTTCTTTAAAAGTGACCTATCTGTTTAGTGAAAAGTTTTTTCGCCAAGACTTTTAATTGCCCGTACGTAAGAACCACGCGTAGCTCAAGGCTGGATTTGAAATACTTAAGTTGTACATGGGCAGGGAACATCCACCCTAGAGTTTCAGCCTTCCAGTTTTTCTAGTTGCCGAGTTAGTAATTTGCCCGCAGGAACTTTCGTAAGTCCTTACGTAAGTACCACACATAGCTTGGGGTTGAATTTGAAATGTATGACAGGGAATACTCTCCCAAAATTTTAGCCTTCCAGCTTTTCTGGATACCGAGTTAGCAATTCTCCTGCCAAAAATTTTACATGCCCGTGCGCGGATACCCCACGTACCTGGAAAGCTGAATTTAAAATTTTTAAATTGCACGTGGACAGGAAGCATCATCCTAAAATTTCAGCCTTCCAGCTCTTCTGGTTGTCGAGTTAGTAATTTTTCTGCAGAACCTTTTATACGCCCGTACTTGAGTACCACGCATTGTTGGGGGCTGATTTTGAAATATTTGAGTTGTACTTGGGTAGTGAGCATCCCTCCAAAGTTTCAGCTTTCTAGCTTTCCTGGTACCCGAGTTAGCAGTTTTCCCCGTAAAACTTTCAAACGCCCTTGTATGAGTACCACATATACTTGGAAGCTGAATTTGAAATCTTTAGCTAGCACATCAGGGAATATCCCTACAGAGTTTCAGCCCCACAGCTCACGTGGCTCCCGAGATCGTTTTCCCGCCAAAAAATTTGCATACTTCTTTAAAGCGTCCGTACGCGACACTCAGGCGTCCACGGGGAATGAAATTAAAATGAGAGGGTCGCGCTTGGTATAGGCACATATCCCCAAAGTTCCAGCCTTCTAGCTTTTCTGGTTCTCGAGTTGAAAGTGGGTGACAAAAAGTGCAAACGCACAGACACACACACACACACACACACAGCCTCTTCCCAATAAGCGTTTTTGCAATTTACATATCTGCAAAAACGCATAAAAAAGATGCATAATGGACCCCGACAAGATTATGCATTTCTGCAATGCCCAGTGGATTAGTGCAATAATAGATGCAGGATCTGATCACGAATCGCTTACAAGTTACGCAGCACGTGGAAGGAATAAAAATCATTGGCGACGCACACTGGGCGAGCCCGTGCGATCATGCGTTTTTGTAATATTTCGTGCTGTAGTAAGTTCGCTTGGAATCCCAGAAGCTAGAATTTGTGACATACTGGTCCTCAAAGTTCAAAAAGTTAATTGTACAACTAAAATGTGGCACTTGAAAAGGGAACATTCTGCTAAAATTTCAGCTTTCCTGGTTCCTATGTTAGCGATTTTCCCACTAAAAATTTTCAAGGGACCACACGTGAGAACCATGCATGCTTGGAGGCTGAATTTGAAATCTTTGAGTTCTACGTAGACGGGGAGCATCCCCTCGTTTCAGCTTCCTAGCTTTTCCGGTTCCCAAGCTGGCTATTTTCCCCACAAAGGCTTTCACAGGACCGTACTTGAATGCCTCGCGCAAATGTTGGCTGAATTTGAATTTTTAAGCTATACATGGGCTGGGAACATTCGCTGAAAATTTCAGCCTCCCAGCTTTTCTGGTTCCCGAGCTAGCGGTTTTCCTGCCAAAACTTTCACGTAGGCTTACGTAGGGCTCAGATGTTCGTAAGGGTTGGTGCCGTGGTCCTCGGGTGGCATTTAGCCAGGGAACCCGCAGCAGAACTTTGGCGTCGAAGCTTGCTCGACTGCTGAGTCGAAATCCTCGGACAGGCACATCACACCGGGGTCGTTACAAACATGCGTTCTTGCTCGCTGTAACAGCGCTATAGCGTTGTACAGCAAAAACATATAACAAAACTTCAGCCTATTTTCCTACATTTGGATGTTATAGTATCAACCATTGTCCGAATTAGATCTCAGGTCAGCCACAGGTTTCGAGTTTTTTTATTATCTTGTGCAGAGAACAAAATAAAAATCTCACTCTGATTTAGGATGAGAGAATTAGTCGGAATTAAGGCCTAAATTTGTTCAAGTTTGACCTTAAACATCCAGTATATCCTGAAAGCCGAACCAGACTACATAACATAGGTTAAACTCTTGAAATTCGCCTTCTCTGCGTCGCTTGTTTCCAAGTCAGAAAACCTGCTTTTGTTTTGCAAATGTAGTAGAGCAACGAGGATTTTAGGTCAGAGTGTACATGTAGTCAAAATTTTACTTTTTTGGCTTTTGTAGTACACAAGCTGAAATGCGTGCAGGACCACGGAGAAAAGCATACAAACATGCTGACATGGCTAGTCATAATGTGTACTTCTGCACCAAAAACCCAGGCTGGAACGCACCAAGCTAGGTGGTGCGAGCATGCATTTTTGCTCAGCTTTTTACGCAGGTTTCACTCAGAAGGGAGTGCATTTCGTAGCAAACGATCGCTCTCATCCTCTCGCAACATCCAGTTCCAGTTGTTCGCTGAAAAGCGGAAATGTTGCGAGAGCGGTCGTTCGCCAAAAAATCTAAATATGTAAATGAACTGGATGTTGAGAGAGGATGAGGGAGGTCATTCGCTGCAAAATACACTCGTTTCCGAGTTTACGGTAAAGTTGTGTATTCCTCATATCCACCTGCAGGGAATTTCACTTTCAAGCAGAATTAAGACCGCACTTAAAAGTAGAATATCCCAGCGAATTTTCAGCCTCGCACATTATTAGGTAAACGAAATAGCCACTTCGCTACAAATATATTTAAAGTTCCCTAAGTCGTGGCGCAGGTGCAAACCGGAACTCATTTTAGGTATACGATTTCCCATGTGGGCGATAAAAATGCTGATAAAATTTCCGTCGCTGTTTTCCAGCAAGTTTTCGAGTTAACGCAGTACCAAATTGCAAACTTCGAAGTGATCGTACGCGCTGCACAACCTGCGCAACAGCTAAATTTGGAATTCTTAGCTCGCACACGCACAGAGAATATCCTTGCGAAGTTTTAGCTTTGTGCCTTGCCTGGTTCGCGAAATCGTTTCCTGCCAAAGAAATTTGCATATTCTTCGAGGATCCGTAAACGAGTTCTGGGCACGCATGAGCGAAGATTTTAAAACGGAAGATGACACAGGGGGTGGTAACATATACCCACAATTTCAGCCTCCCGGCTTCCCTGGTTGCTGAGTTGAAAGTGGTTGACAAAGTTCACTCGCTCCCGAAAACACACACACAGCCGACTTCTCGAAAATATGCGTTTTTGTTCGCTGCAGCAGTGCTGTTGTGCTGCACAGCAAAAACACATAAAAACGTTCGAAAATGCATGTAACTGCTATTCTTGTGATAGGTAATTCTGCGTATCAAGCGAAGGTTGACCAAAATAACCGCTCTATAAGCAAACGTGATGCACTAACCACTCGAGGATTCACTTATGTTGTCTGGTAATTTGCCTCTACCAAGAAGTGCCATGATAATGCCAGACTGAGAATTCACACCAACCGCCGTTATTAACATTTTTCCACTTCCCTCCATCGCATAGGTTCCTAAAAATTGCTGTTCCAGAAAAAAGTTTACTGCAATAAAAAATACACTCGAAGAGGAGGAAAGGTACCTGACAGAAGGACAGGGTCATGATCAACACCTTTTGACACGTGCTCGGATTCTCCCGTAAGTGGTGATTCGTCTACTTTGAGATCATGGCTTTGAATTATGAACCCATCAGCAGGAAGCAAATCTCCTAAAATAAGAAATTCAGTGGATTCACTGGCATACTGCCAGCATAGACAAAGAAATTCAACATATTTTACTATGCGTTTTTGCATATATGCAAATGCAGAAACGCATATTGTGACTACTCCGGTTTGTGTGTGTGTGTATGTGTGTGCGTGTGTGCGTCTGTCCGAGTACTTCAACTCGGTAATCAAGCAAGTTCCACTACCAAAATTTTGCCAGTGGGTTCCCCGGCCAATGCCGCCTCAGGACCGCGGCACCAACCCTCATGCACGTCTAGACACCGCGTACGAGCGCGTAAAAGTTTTGGCAGGAAAACCGCTAACTTGAGGACCAGAAAAGATAGGAAGCTGAAATTTTAAAGGGATATTCCCTGACCAAGTACCTTGTAGCTGTACAGTTAAACTCCTGAACTTCGAGGACCAGTATGCCATAAATTCTAGCTATTGGCACTCCAAGCGATCTTAAAACAGCAAGAAATATTGCAGAAACGCATGACCGCATGAGCCCGCCCGGCGCATGTCGCCAACGATTCTGAATATTAGCAGCTTTTCCCAAACAAACCATTATCAGATTGGTCTCATGTTTATGGCAGTTCATAAACAAATTTCTGTTTATTGCTGCTGTACATCAAAAAGTTTAAATAATATAGTTTTGAGGAAAATCCAATAATCTTCTGCGGCCATATCTTTTAAAAAATACATTTTGGAGTTTTTACCTGCAACAAAAACAAGGGCATAGCAAATGAGGCAAACCGGTTTTTCTAGGCGTTTCTGCCATATTAGTCCTTTTTTCTCTCCCCGCGGCTAAACAAAATAGTTGCCCAACACACAGGCTGCCCGTGCGAAGATGTGTTTTTTACATAGTTCCCCGCAGTCTTTGTCGCTACCGGCACAGGTTTTTCCGGCAAATGCTTTAGCTAAACAAATTAAGACTTGCCGCCAGAGCTGCCAGGAAACAGCCTCTTAAAATCTCAGTTTCCTAACTTTTCACTTCGAGTAAGCAACTAACCCAGAAAAATCTTGGCGGGCCCATACGTGGTACCACGCACATCCGGTGTCTGGGTTTGAGCTCATTAACACCTATTTGGATGGGGAAAATCCTCTTAAAATTCCAATCCTCTAGCTTCTCAGGTTCCCGAGTTAGCAGCTTGACCGAAAAAAAATCTCACGGACCCGTACGTGGGAACCACGCACAACCGGGGGCTGGATTTGGACTCATTAATACCTAGTTGGGTGAGGAATACTCCCTTAAAATTCCTGTTTTCTAGCCTTTCGGATTCTTAAGTTAGCAACTTACTCGAAAAAGACTTTGGCGAGCCCGTACGTGGGTACCACGCGTACCCGGAGACTGGTTTGAAGCTCATTAAGATTTACTTGGACGGGAAACATCTCCTTAAAATTTCCGCTTTCTAGCTTTTCTGGTTCCTGAGTTAGCGACTTATCCGCAAAAGACTTTCACGAGCTCGTAAGTGGTACCACGCGGGTAAGTTCGCCCATTTTGGGGATGGTGGCCCGTACATGCACGTAGATTAAATTTCCAAATTTCCAGCTCTATAGCTTTTGTAGATCCCGAGATGAAAAATAGGTACAGACGCCCTGTACACACACAGACACAGATACGCACACATACACACACGACCTATGCGTTTTTGCTGGCTGTAGCAAGGCTTTAGCGCGGCTATAGCGCTTCACAGCAAATACCCATAAAAACTGGTCTTCTGCACTGATTAATACATGAAGATAAAAAATGTAACTGATTTTGAAAATGGTATCTTTTCTTTTTAAAAATTCACTTTGTTGTAATCAAAAAGTTCATTAAAAACATTAAGAAATTCGGACGGAGAGGAAAAGAATTGCCTAACCAAGGTCTGAATTTCAGTAGTTTATAAGGCTATATTTTTAATCTCATGACAAAAAAGTTACCGTATTTAACCCGCGCAACATCACCAACAACAAGATCGGCAACAGGAACATCCACTGGTTCACCGCTGCGTATCACGGAGAATTTATGCCCAGTTTCGATTTTCTCTTGGAGTCCTAAGTAATATCAGCATAATCGAGTAGCATAGACTAAAATTTACCCAAAAACAACAAATGCCAAACCATAAAATTTACCTCTGAATTGCCGCTCCTTGGAATAATCGTTGATTGCAGTGACAAGCACAACAACAATCACGCATATCAGAATTGCCGCTCCTTCAATCCAGGCTGTACCATGTTCTTCGTCCTTTTGCATTTCTGAGTGCGTAACTATTCAGAGTTACAGTTAATTAAGAGCAAAAATTCAAGGAAATCGGACAATTCAGTTTTTCCAACAAGAGTTTTTTTGGTTTGGCTGCTTAATTTTTTGCAGCATATTTATGCACGGATCTTCATCTTTCGACAGATATTCTACAAAGTGGTATCCGTATGAATCCTACACATCAATAACACACGTTCAAGACATCTCATATTTCCAGCTAAAATCTTAGGCTTTTTTATTGGAAGATATTTTTTTTCAGCTCCTTGTCTAAACTTGTTTGTCTAGTTCATTGCCGAAAAAATTGTGCAATGATTTGCCTTTACAAGTATGGCAAATCAGTTCATTCTTATCTCAAAAACGATTGAGTACCAAAAAGTAAAATACAGATTTTGTCTCGTTTTGCAGCTGTTTTCTTTACAAACGAAATGGAATTATGCAACGAACACAGCAGAGGTGGCAGCAGAAGCAAAAATTATAAGATAATAAGTAGCGCCACGCGGCAGAGCGACTAGTGCGATGATGCATTTTGCGCAGTTCAGTCTAGCGGACGTTTGTTGTCAAAAATGTTCGTTGCTTTGCTGCTTGGCATGCGAGGAAGTCCTCAGAATCCTCTGACTGGCCAAATCTTTCATGCTTTCATACTTGAAACCTAGGCGTAAATGGAAGCAGAATTTAAATTTTCTGGAGTCGCATATGGAGAGAAAATATCCCTCTGAAACCCTAGTTTTCTGCCATGTCTGGTTCCAAAATTGGGAAATTCCTACCAAACTGCACATGCCTATGCGTGAAAACTTAAGTGCATGTGGGGCTGAATCAAAAATGGTCTGCGTCGCACAAGACATGTAACATTCTTCTTAAATTTTAGCATCCTAGTCTTTCCCGTGTTGTCCATGAACTTTCTAGTAATTCTCCTGCCAAAATTCCACGTGCTTGTATGTGTGGCCTAAACGCATGTAAGAGCTGAATTTGAAATCGCTGGATTGCATATGAGCATTGAGCATCTTTGTAACAATTCAGCTTCCTAGTTTATTTGGTTTTCCGCTTAGCAAATTTTCCGTTAGAACTTTCGCATGTCTACATAAAAGTACTAGGCGCGAATGAAAAATGAAATTTATTCGCTCGGCAAGGAACATATTCCTAGAATTTTAGCTTCCTGGCTCATCTGTTCTTTAGTTGCAAACCTGAATAAAACGCATTCGAACCACCCACTTTACACGTACACATACACACACATATACGCACATACACAGCGTCATCATATTTTTGCATTTTGCGCACTGCTGCAGTGCAAAAGGCATAAAAACATTTCCCCAAAAATTTTTTTTGGTGTTATCCATGATCTGTTGCGTTTCACAAATTACAGTGTGGTATTGAACCTTTTGAGTAGGTTGTATTATGGTTGAATGTCACGTTGGGATTTAAATAACTAGGCCAAGAGTGGGCGACATAAGCTGAAAGTTGTTCGTCGTCCTGGTCAGATGCTGGAGCGTAGAAGGACAGAGCTAATGATATGAAACCGGCAACAAGTAGGATTACGAGTGTTGGATCCTGCAACAGACTGACAGTAATTTTTGTTTAGATGTGCCAGAACATTCTTTAAAATGATCGCCAAGAGGGCTGCTATTTTAATTTCCTGCAAATCCCTGCCAAATTTCTGATTTTCCAGAAAAGCCATATGTTTCAAAATTTGATTTGGAAAATTTACTGTTTAATTATATGCCAGCGTTTTAGCCCTCATCTCGCGTTGTCCTACGTTTTACTTCCCTTCGCCTTCATCCTTCTATATTCAGTTCGTTTACAAAAAAGAAATCCCACATTTAACTTGAGTATCGGATTTCATTGGATTTCAGAAGCGAAATGAAGCATTTCATTTGAAGGCAGTCTGGAATAAGCTGACATTGTAAAGCTCTCGTGTTTTATGTCATATATTTCAAAAAAGATTTTTTTCCTTTACCTTTTTTCATTGTCTTTTTCCCTTGATTCTCCCATTTGGTTCACATTCCTTTAAGCATTTGGACAACTGGAACGGAGCGCCATTCAATGAATTTGTGTGATGAAAATAGTGAAGGAAAACGTGGTTACCTTGGATGCTTCCCAGATTAAACGAATGAATGATCTTGATGAAGGCGCAGGGATTGTATTGGCACCGAAAATGGCACGACGCTTTGCAAGTTCTTGTGCATCACTAGAAATACCCTTTGCGGGATCAACATGCAACTTCCTGCACAGTTCCTCCACTCCACCGTAGTCGTTGTTCAACTGCAATGAGGATGTTTCAGGACACGAAAGATCTTTACAGTAAACAGACTGAAGAGCAGGAGAACAAACTTTGACGACTGCTTCCGCACGCCGCGTGTCCATAAGCTGCCGTAGCTCTTCCAGAGTGCAACCAAATTCATAATCAGTTTTGCTTGCTTGCTTATTCAAATTTGCATGGAACACTGCTTCTGTTATTTTCAATGGCAGTTGCTGAAAGTTAAAACTGTACGTAGCTGCGCAGTTCCTCCAAAATCAAGATTTCACTTTCCTTCTAATGCTTATTTGCATGAACTGTGTGAGAAACGCTTTAAGAGTGTGTGTGTATGTGTGTGTCTATCTGTCTGTCTCTCTGTGTGTCTACAAGTGAGATAACTGAAATGCAAAAATTTTGAAACACAGTCCTCAACTGTCTGCGGTGCAACAGGCCTCAAAATAAGTCAAATCTTCTTTACTCCCTGAATATGACATCGACTGCAGATTCAGCCTAAATTTCGCAATTATAGAATGGACTGAACTAGTCAGACATACCAAAATCAATTTCTAGACCCAGTGCTTACTGTCCTGTGATCTTAACTCTAATCTCGAGCCAATTTTGTAGGTTGCAAATGCAATGATGAGCTGCATATCAGCATTCAAGAGTTCAGTTTCAGTATAATGCGACTGTTAGACCTTTTCGAGCGTTTTTTGCAGCTATGCAATGCAGAAAACGCATATTGACGAGAGGTTGTCTGTGTGTGTGTCTG